GGCTGTGGGGCTCCTGGGGCCTCTGCAGCCAGGATGGCTTCTCTATGTCAGTAGAGGACCTGTTCACACCAGCCTGGCCACTGTACAGTGTGAGGGAGCCAGGGTGTGTGTTTGTGGAGCCTTTTTGTGACTGAGGTCTCGTTTGCAGCCTGATCCAGCTGGAGGGGTTCCTGAGCGGGATGTGCTGCAGCTGTGAGGCAGTGTACCGTGTACTGTACTGGGAGAACCCCACTGTCTCTTCCCAGTGAGTACCATGGGTCAGGCATCCTGTGGTGGCCTCAGCAGGGAGGGGGGCCCAACCAGGCCTCTGGAGCTGCATTTGATGTGTTTGGTACTTGGAGAGAGCAGGTGGAAATCCAGATGAAGGAAGGAGGCTTGTGCTGTGGTGTGATTTGCCTTGTCTTGACCATAGTGTCCTGCTGCTCCTCCCCAGGTTTTATGGGGCACTGCTGGGCACTGTCTGTGTCCTTTACCTGCTGCCCCTCTGCTGGGTCCTGGCCATCCTCAACAGCACCCTTTTCCTGGGCAACACCCAGTTCTACCAAGGTAAGAGACCTCTCTGGAAGTGGCCTGTGTGGGATGGGTTGGGGAAAGGCCCTCTGAAGCCAGGCAAGAGCCTCTTCTGGTTTGTATCCTGGGCTGGGTGCTGTTTTCTGCTCTCCTCTGTGCTGTGGCAAACTGGGGCCTGGCAATACAGCCTGTATGTGAGCATCAATGTCCCTCTCGATCCTGACCCTGCTCTGCAGGACATGAAGTACTCTCGGTGCCTGTGGCAGTGTATGACACTGTCCTGAAAACGTGCTGTCAGGGGAGGGCAGCTGAAGGTGCTCCCTGTTCTGTGGCATGTGCTGAAGGAGAGTTGGATGAGATCTCTGTGGCTGGGCTGTGACTAAGGCCTCTGCTGTTCCCTGTCTTGATCGGGGGCCTGTGTGGGGGGGAGTTCCTTGCTGCCCTAACTTTGATGTGTGAGCAGAAGACAGCTAAGGCTACCTGATAAGTGAAGGTTGTACATGCCAATGTCCCATCTTGAGCCCTGGAGGTTGGCTCTTGCAGCTGGCTTTTGTGCAGTGGGTTTAGAATAGAAGTGCCACCCCACTCCAGCAACATTCCCTCTTACCAGTGATACTGGAGCTCAGGGCCTCGATTGAGCAGAGTGTGGGTGCCAAACCCCTTGAGAGCACTCCAGAGCCTGCTGAGCCCCTGCCTCCTGCTGCCCCCCTGGACCGGACCCCCACGCCCACCAGCACAGAGGTGAGTTAGGGGCAGGGCTGGCAGTTGTGGGGTGGGAGATATAGGGTCAGCCCTTTGGTATGTCTGTGTCCCTGTACCAACAAACTCCTTCCGGCTTTGGTAGTGGTGGAAGCCTGTGAGCCCCACCTGAGTTGCTGGGGGCTGCCCTGCTGCACTGGGGCTTGGCTCAGTTGTTTTGCTGCATGTGAGGAGGCAGTTTGGGCAGGCAAGGGGCTTGCTTCACCTTCTGGGACTCCTGTCTTCTCACGGAGCTGATCCTTTGTCCTGGAACCCACTGCAGAAGTGTGGGCCCACCTTTGGACAGGGATGTGGGTATGGCAGGACGAGCTCTGTGACTCTCTTGCAGGACCTTACCCCTGGCAGCGTGGAGGAGGCAGAGGAGGCAGAGCCTGATGAAGAGTTCAAAGATGCTATCGAGGTTTGAGACTGGTGGGGGTGGGCTGTCCCTGTAGGGCAGCTGAGGTGGGAAGGGATGAGGGCCTCGGTGGGCAAGCTGGGTGCTCAGGAAGGGTGGCTGTGGGGCTGGGTGCCTCTGACTCAGTCTGTACTGCCTCTCCTCTCCTTCTCATGCTGCGGGAGAAGGAGAACCAGCTGCTGGTCATGGTGAGTACTGCCATGCGAAGGCATGCTGGAGCAGGCAGCCTTTGCCTGGTTTGCTGGTGGCTTGTGGGGATACCAGGTGGAGCACCCTGGTTGTTGGGTGCCCATCGCTGGGCTGGGCTGGGCTGCCCTGCAGCCCTCAAGCGTGCCCACAGCCACCCCTTTGTGCTCAGCCAACTCTGCTGTCTGCAGGAGGACGACGAGAGCTCTCAGTGCTCAGCAGATTTTGACCTCAGCCTCCCAGACAACGGCTTTATGAGCAAAAACGAGGTGATCCGCAGCAAAGTGTCGCGCCTGACAGAGCGCCTGCGCAAGCGCTACCCCAGCAACAACTTTGGTAAGACTCAGAGGAGCTGCTGCTTGGAGGAGCTCAGCACAGCAGGGGCTGTGCTGCTCCCACTGGTGACCACTGTACTGGGAATGGACAGGGCAGTGGTGTAGCTGCTAGGGCTGTGTTGACATCTCCAATGACCTGCCCTATCCATGGGCAGGATATTTCCAGGCCTCCTGGGAAGGGCAATATCGCCTCTAAGCTGAGCCTTTACAACAGTCATGGATGTTCCTGTAGCTCTCATGATCCCAGGCAGCAGAGCCCTACCTGACCTCTGCTCCCTTTCTTCCAGGGAGCTGCACTGGCTGTGGAGCCACCTTCTCTGTGCTCAAGAAGAGGGTGAGTCTTCAGCTTCCACCCCAGCTTGCTGCCTGCACTTGGGGCAGAGGTGTCATGTGTGTGCAGCTCACCCTGGCTTTCTCTGTCAGCTCAGGTGGTTGCTCTCAATCGTGACTCAGCAATAGATGACCTCACCTAAGTGCTGGGTGTTGTTGCATGCCTAATGGTGACAGGGACCTCATGCTGTGGAGTCTTTTGTCTATTTGCGCCTTTGAAAGCTGCCTCAGGCCAAACCTGTGTGTGCTGGAGTAGAAGGCACCTGTCCTGTGCTCTGGCCTAACCTGTTTCCTCTGGCCTGAGAGTTTTCCAGTGAAGCAGAGCATGGGTCTGTTTGTGGGAACTAGAAGAGCAAAGCCCACCCCTGTTGTCTTATCTGAGTCCCTGAGTGAGATGCTTGGCACACAGTCCTCTGGGCGCTTCTGGGAAGGGAATATCTCTTGTCCCCTCCAGACTCACGCTGATGTCTTCCTGCTTCCTCCTGTTGTCCACACTTATGTCCCCTCCCCTTACTCCTGGGTTAGTCTGAGATGTCTGCCACTCTCTGGAGCTTGCATCCGTCCATGGTTACAGGTTAGGAAGTGATGTAGTGTCCTTAAACCTTCTGGGTGTCCTGTGCTTTCTCAGGCTGGATGCAGGCTGCATGTGGTGTTAGAGTGTACTTGAATGCAGGTCCAGCATAAGGCCTGGGTGGTTTGTCCGGGTGGTGTTGGCAGATGACTTCTCTGCTGTTGGGGCTCAGGGCTTCCACCCACTCCCCTTCAGCAGGGAATGCTGTTAGCAGTGCTCCAGCACTGGAGTTTGCCAGGGAGGGCTGGGAATGGGCTTAGAGTTGTGTCTCACCTCCATGTCTCTCCACAGCGGAGCTGCAGTAACTGTGGGAACAGCTTCTGCTCCAGGTGTTGTTCCTTCAAAGTCCCAAAGGCTGTGATGGGAGCCACAGGTGTGTGGATGGTGGAGGAGGGCATAACTGTCTACTGCAGGGGTTTGCCCAGCCCTGGTGGGGAGGGTAGACAGGACCTGCCCAGTGCCACTTGGCTTGGGACAGAGCGGTGAAGGGTCTGCAGCTCTTGGAGCAGCTCAATGGCTGGGAGTGGGGAAGCCTGGGGTGGGGAAGGGGAGCATCTCTGACACCTCCTTTCTTTTCCAGCCCCAGAGGCTCACAGGGAGACAGTGTTCGTGTGCGCTCTGTGCAACCAGGTGCTCATCAAGTGACTGCATCAGGGCCAGCCAGCTCCTGTGTCCTGCGTTGCCTGATGCCTGGGCTGCTTGGTTCCCAGCGTGGCATCACCCTGCCAGAGGCTGCCTGTGCTCACTGTTCCTCCTGCCAGTGCCAGCTGGGGACAGATCAGCCCTCCTTGCCACGCAGCATGTGCCACACGAGCTGGGTCCCTGCGGCAGAGGGCCTGTGCCCCCCTCCCCACGACTGCCCCATGGCAGCTGTTCCAAGCCCTGGCACTTGCTGCACCTTTCCACGTGTTTGCCCAGGCCCTGTGGCCTGGCTCAGTGATGGAGGAACCATCCTTCCCACTTGTGGTCCTGAGTGGGGCAGAACACCCTCAGGGCTCTGTCCCTACCTTTCCCAGCATGGTGCTAGGTGACTGTATTTTTGGGATCAAGTCAGAGCTCTACCTGCATCCATGGAGGATATATGGTCTTTGGTCCTGGCTCGGCTCAGCTTCTGCTAGTCACTCCTGTGCTTCTTGGCCTCGCTGCCTGCAGGTTTAGTCTTTTCTCCCCCCATGTTTGGCTGTAGAGCAGAAGAGGCAAGAGGGTAAGTTTTGGCTGGGTTCTCTGGCCAGGTCTCCAGATGCAGCATCAGAAGCAGCACAAGTTGCTGCTCTGTCCACGTAGTGACTGCTGCTTTCTACTACAGATTAATATATAAATGTATATAGAGAGTGACCAATAAATCTCTTGCCCTCAGCTGGCTCTTGTCTTGCCCCAGTGAAAACTGTCCCAGGTCACCCTGGCACCTCTGTGGCCTTGGCAGGTGGTCATGGAGAAGCGTGTCTCTGCCGCTAGCTCCACTTGCTTACTGGGGTTTCCATCTCCTGTCATGCTGTGGCCTTGTTTGCCCCTGCTGTGTGCAGCTGCCCCTCCTTGGCTGTGCCAGGGAGAAGCTCAGCTCTGTCCAGAGCTGCTGTGTTTCCTTTCTGCCTCCCGCGGCTGCTCCCTCCCCTGCCCCACCCCGGCGGGGGTCCCGGCAGCCGCCTGCACA